TGCCCCCAACACCGGCCCGGCCCCCGCCCGGCCCGGCCCCCGGCCCCGCCCGATCGACCACGCAGCGACCGCCCCGAAGGCAGACGCCGCTCCCGCTGGCCCAGTTTCCGCCCTCCCCGCAGCAACCGGCGTCCGGCGAGCGGCGGGCTGCCTCAAAATCCTACCCCGCATGGTCACAGCACGCGGCCCTCGTTTGCGCAAGTCGTCCCTACCACATTTACGCTTAGCTGAATGATTGATTAGTGTTTCTGGGCGTGTCAACTACAACAGTTATTAGTCCCATAAGAGTAGTGAATATTATATCCCAGATGGTGGTGGTGGGGTTGGTGATCTTTTTTAGAACGTAAGATCGGCGTCTACCAACACATTGGCTTTCGAGGTTTCCCGCCTTGTGGTCTTCCGCCTTCCCGTCTCCCCCAGGTGGGAATGACCCCAACCGGGACAAGCACTAGGCTCTTGACTGGCCTTCCGACATGAGTGTAGAGCGCATGTGTGTGTAAGTATGTGTGAGAGAGAGGAAATTTATTTATTTATTTATTTATTTACGTCAAAAACAATTAAAACTGTGTGTGACGTGCTATGGGGAGAAGTTAATTTGAAGTTACATTTATGTCCAGACGCAAAACAAGGGGCCATCTCAGCATTTGCTCGAGGATCAGGGAAACTCGACGAAAACCTGATCGAGATGGGGGTCATTGAACCAGAAGCTGAAGTGCAATACTTGTTATAGGTTCTTTACAATTATATAATCCAAATAGTATAAAATACATTAAATGTCATTGTTAAAATCAATATTACTTTCCTTTTGGATGCTCGACCTCTAATTGTAAAGAAACAATTGTGCAGCAGAAAAGATTGTACTTGGACCTTAAACTTTTGTATCGAATTTAATCGTTTAATGTCATCTGGCAAGATGATGTAAAATAATGTACATGTATTATATGTGAATTTTTTGTAGTGATCTGTTGATACTGTCACCTGATGAATATGATTACTACGTCGAGTGTTGTAGTTATAGATAACGGCGTTTGCTGAAAATATATTTCCGATCTTAAGTAAGTCATTTTTGAATATAACACTGATTCATATATCAAGAGACAAGATAATGGTAAAATACCTAGATGAATAAAGAGAGGCTCACAAGAATCACGTGAGTGGATTACAATTCGTTTTGTAATCTAAAAGATGTATTTCCCCATAATATTATGCCATATCTCAGGCGGGAATGAACATTCGCGAAATACACAACGAGCAGTGTGTAGGCTGACTGAGGATAGGGAGAGGATATGACAAGGAAGAGGAAGGAAAAATCTCGCACAGCCCGTGGTCCATTTGTTTAGGTTCTGCTCCTGTAATTGCCTGACATTGATAAAAAATAAAACACGAAAATATCGATGTGAACAGACGGCAATGCGAACTCTTCTCCAGACAGTGACTGAATTCGGCCTAACTATCTAGCCAGCATCGAAAATCCTCCTCCATTAGGGTCGAACTCTAGAACCTCCCAGCGACGCTGGGGAGAACGGCGGTGCTGCTATTGAGAAGCATCGGGAACGCGCTCTTTATCAACGAGACAGCCTCGCTTCGTGGCCGCTTCGAATGAAGGCCTTGGAACACACATGTTTACCGAGAAAATCTTGTCATGTTTTGAAATGCCACTTTATTTATTTGCAGTGCACTATAACCAGCGCCAATCATTGAATATTTGAAAAAAAAATTGTTGTCCTTCTGATTTTAATTTAAAAACGTCGGAAAATATATATTTCATCCGATATGTCACAGTTAAATTCTAAATTTGACGAGAGTAACTACTTAAATTGAAAACTACTATTGCACTGAAAACGACTTTCCAGGAAACGGATGAAATTGTCGGCGAAGAGAAATTAAAGTTTCAGTATGTAAGGACCAACAGCAATGGTCATAAAATGTTTCAATTTTTGCTATCAGGATGATAATGCGCGTAACGTCCCGGAGTTCAACTTTTGGAAGGAAATATTTTGGATAGAGGACAAACGCTTAAAGGTGGTAGTTATGAAGTAATTGCTTACGTACAAGAAAATTTAATTGAAATTGGTAATTTTGGAAAATATTTTTGTTGATCGTTTGAAAACACAATCTAGACATTTTCTACCACGTTTAGTGATTATTTGAAAATAGTGCTGCGTGTTTATTTATTTAGTTTCCCTAGCCACTCCGAGTGGCGCAGACTCGCAGAGCATTTTCTCCTGCTGCATCTCAGCGACGAGCGGCCGCAAAGAGGCCCGCAATCGACCGCTTTGCTGCCTGCAGGGGTTAGCCGTTATTGCAGGCGCCGCCGACGCCGCCTCAGACACTTCCGAAGGCGATGCTCTCAGCCGATGTCTTCTGCTCTGAACAGCCCGTAGATGGCACAATTGGCTCTCTGCCCAAATTAAATAACTTTTAACTTGTTGCAGCGTGCCAGGCGGCGGCGCCACCATGCAACAGGTGCAACTGGACCAAGAAAGTGTGTCAAAACTCGTAACGTGACGCGCAAAAAGTCAAATAGTCTGTAATTTTTTTTTTCGACGATGAAGCACCGCGTCATCTATAGGTATAGGTGTTGTGGTGCGTTATCGTTGGCATTTTTCATGAAATAATTATAGACGTTGTCATTGCCAACAATAGTATTTAATATAAGAGCAGCTTTCGATGGCTTAGCCATCATCATCAGTTGTCTGCTTGACGGAAAGCTGCTCTTATATTAAATAATATTGTTGGCAATGACAACGTCTATAATTATTTCACCGCGTCATCTAGCAAATTAATTTGCTCCCAATTCTGTTGTATATCGTATGAGAGTACGGAACTAAAAAATCATAAAGAGTACGGCAATAAAAATGTAATCAGATAGGGTTCACATCTCCAAATATTCAGCAATAATGAAAATTGTCATTTACATTCCCTACAGAGACGTATTACTAAAGTGGACATAACCATTATTTATATATTAGAAACTCCAGTATTTCTAATATTGCAAACCATGTATGACATGAATTAAAGTTCTGGTATAAATTATAGTCCATCTATTTTCCATGCAACATCTTGTAATATAACATTGTCTAAGCTCAAAGACAATTCTGGGATTATTCATGTTGTTTAGAGATTGACTTCATCATTTGTTAAAAACAACTACCCTCTTCTTCCATGTGCAAATTTTCCCAATTATATATAT